TTCATGCACACATTTAATATTTTAAACTGGCTAACATTCTCATTTTTAAAGTATTCTTTTACAGTATGTTACAGATGAAAAAGTAAAAAACATCACTCGGAAGAAATTACATAAAGTAACTCTAGAGATATCCACATTAACTTCAAAGCTTCATGAAATTGAAATCCAAACAAAAGCGGACATTTATTACAAACTTCGAAGCAGAGTTCTGTATAACTTTTGCGCGGCTTCCAATCAAGCATGACACATGAAGCGAGAAGTTATTGTTCTGGAACGAGATAGCCAGGCATTGTTACGAGGGAGGAAGTGGTGACAGAAACATTCTTTGCTTAGATGTTCGAAAAGGATACTTTGAGAAGTTATAGAGTATGCAGAGGCATCAAAGGTTATAAAGTGAACGCAAGAAGTCTCAAGAGTAGTATTAAAATGATGATGTTCCAGGAAATCTTTCTTCAGCGCAATTTAGCTGAACGCCAGCTGCCATTCGATGCGTTATCGATTTCTTATTCAAAAAGACGATGTCGAGATGAAAACCAAGACATAGTTTCTCAGTTTAAAGCTTGATAAGCATTGTTACTTGCTAAATAATGTCTTTTACGCCTCAGCATTATAAATAAAAGATAAGCTTTTAATATTATTAATGGGGAGAAAGCATTCAAATGAAGGAGCGAAATGACATTTTCAATCTAATTTCACTCGTCTCCGATTTACAATTGCGTAAATTTGTTTGTTCTGTAATATATTGCTATTAAAGTAATAAATAAAGAGTGCAGAAAACTCGATAATATTTAAAATATTTTTATAATGCACTAAGTATGGCTTATTAAGAATCTACAAAGATGGTTTCCTGTTTTATTAATGTTCTACCGGTCGATATCAAATTTGTACATTTATAAAGAAAACTGTGTAACTTATCTGCCTTTTCCAGACTTTTTAATCCCGCTTATTCCGGGCTTTAGATTTAACAGATTGTACTGATTGCAGAATTAACTAATTACTCGGAAGCATGCAAAAATTTATTCGGCGAAGAAGGTATGCTTTAATGAAAGGCTTACTACGGCAAATAACTATGCATTGGGTTGATGCAGAACCACGGATGTCCCATGGTACACTGGACAACATCACAACACGTCTGTACAACTATCTGGATCATCGGTAAGTATAACTTTCTTGAATGGGCTATTATCAACTTGAATCTTTGCTTTATGAGTTTAAATAGTGTCATTTCTGCATTTTCTTGCAGCGTAACATCACATTTGGTCCAAATACATTTATATCATAATTCGCACAGATACTGATGATAAAAGTGCTATATGCTAGTGGTACATAAAATTTGTGCTTTCGATGTAGTGCTAGAAAATGAGTCCCGCAGTCAGCCACAGACTTAAGATGAGTTCTTGAAAAATACTGTCGAAATCAATCACAACGTCACAATTTCATAGTTTCAGGGAGGGGCATGCGTTCAGCCTTTTACTTACCTGCTATTCAGTATTTAGTTTTAGTCTATGAATATAAATAACGTTTTAGTATTTATGAACATTTTCTACACTTTTTGTTGTTTATAAAACATGTTAAAAATCATCTAAATCCTATATATGTATTCTTCCAAATTCGAGATCCTTCCGTGATTATATAACAACCTCAAATTATTAACCAATCATAGCTTAGAGTACTTTCTGCATGGACTTAGCATAAATACCGCTCGCAAATAAACTGCGCCGTCTTCTTCTCCTACCTTCGTCCACGCCAAGATCCACGCTGCTTTTGCTTGTCCGTGTAAAATGATATTGCCCCGTTAATCTGTGTATATAAGAAATTATTGTAATTGTTTATGATAAAATATATGTATTGTCTATGAAGAATTATTCTAATGTGCATGGAAATAAAGATGGTAATTAGCTGAACTTGGTTTGGTACCAATACCTTCGTCCCGTCTTGGCGCTCTGCTATCACGACTACGCATAAAAAATATTACATATATATTTCTAGTTTATGGAAAGGAGAGGGGGTAATCGTTTAGCAGTTGCGAAAGGGAAAAATGACCCGGATCTTTTAATATCGAATTGTGGGAAAGGGAAAAATGCATGGGGGAAAAAGATTTAGAACGTTTTTCTTTTTTTGTCCCTTGCACCTCTTTCATACATGGTATTTCATACCTTTCATAGCCTTGCATCCCTTTCATACCAGGTGTACAACATACTACCAGCACTGGACGTCTCCAAGCTATTGGTAAAAATAAGTTTTTCAGTTATTTAATTTGTAATTTTTCAGGTATTTAATTTGTAATAACTCTAATGTGATTGAATTATTTGCAAATAGCTTTGAACTCGTTTATAGTCGACCTCCCCCCCCAGACATCAGTAGTAAAGATGCTTCAAACATTTCTCGGCTTATACACGGAAATACACGGTATGTTTCTCTTGTGATAATTCTCATGAAATTAAAAATAAAACCGGTGAGACTTGTTATTATGAGTCTTGGCCGCTGTTAATCACACAAAATCAAACAAGCAAGGTGAAACAAGCAATTAAAAGATGTTTATAATAGATTGCAATTCAATAGAAATTGTCCATCTTTCTATTCTAAATCTGTCTAAAATTCAGTTAAGCAGCAGTCATCAACTACTAAAACACCTTCATTGAATCTCTGTTTTAACTTGGTTGTTTGCCGACTTCTTGTATCCATCAGGACCATGAGACTAATGATGTCTGTTCAAGAGAGTGTTCCTTCAATTATAAGATATTTCTCCCGCCTTCTTAGCGAGCGTTCGTGGTGTAGTTTTCTGCACCCTCAGCGCGTAATTGAGAGGTCCGCGGTTCGATTCCCGGCGAAAGCGTTGCATATTTTTCACTATTCCTGCTTCCAAAAAATCCTAATGTTTCTACACAGTAATGCAGTTTTTAATGTTACACGTCTACGAAATACTCCTATAGTTATGCTTTATGAAATATGAAACGCATTTTATCTCAAATGGAATCAATATAACGTAATTGTCGTACTGGTATTATATAATATCAGTATAACATCATTGTCGTAGCTCAAGTAAATGAGTATATAAAGAATTTCAGCACAATTCGATATTAAAAGATCCGGGTCATTTTCCCTTTCCTTGTAGTCCTATAGAATCAAGTCTCGATTTATCGGGATAGTTCTGGAAAAGAAGTCCACCATTGTCTAAAAATCACGGTTTATGTGAGAACAATTAAAAACAGGGGCAAGAGAAATAATCCATATCATTATTAATGGATAAATACTATTCACAAATAATGGATAAATACTATTCACAATCTACCTGTATTTTCAAGCAGTTTAATCTGGAAAAGAAGTTTATTTCGTTACGAAAATTAAACCAGTATTCAAAGCAGAAAGAATCCACTGAAAGACGAGGAAAGGTCACATCAGATTATTTTGATTATGGCAAAGCATGGGCTATCTATCTAAGGTGAAGGATGCTTTAGAAGAGGATGTGTAATAAAGAAAACTAGTTTTTATATATATTACGTATGGGAAGAATTGGCAAAATTCCCATGCAAGCAGCCCATTCAGCCATATTTGAGCCCAGGTCAAATTGCCAGCGTTTAGCCCCTGGTGGCCTTCAACAACAACAGCATAATCGTTATTATTAATGATGATACAAAATTATAAATAGCATTAAAGAGCAATATTCAATTGGGAGTTTGAAAAATCATTAAATTGAAACTGGTATGAAAAAATTTTTGGTTACCTTGTTCTATTAATTTGGAAAATTATACAATTAAAAGCATGACATTTTATTTAAAAAAATCTGAATGTGGTCACCACATGACGTCCTTATACGGCCTATTAAATTCTGCACTTTTTTTTTTTTTTTTTTTTTGCTGCATTTCATTTAAACTTATTTCCCAGAATTTCATTAGAGATATAGTTCTCATTCAATCAATTCAGTTCTCGCTTCCCGGCAAGGAAATAAAGGATAAAAACTCAAAAACATCTTCATTAAAAATTGTAAAAAAAAAATAATAATAATAATAATAATAAATCTGAAATATTTCAGATTTTAAATTACGTCCAAAGGGGCGTTTTTTAACATTTTGTGTGTTACCTTTCTTTATTAAATATCATGTTCCTCGCACTTAAACCATAAGATCCAGTGCAACAGCAATATCGCAAAATAGTTTTAAAACGAGAATATCTTTAGAATTTCCGATACAGAGACTCACGCGCTGGAGATAAAAATGTTTTTTCTGCACAACGTTGCCATTGCTCGCTTTGAAATCCTTGAGTTTGTTAATCAAAAATTCGTCAAAGTTTTAAAAAATAGGAAATCGATCATAAAACAAATTTCAAATTTCAAATTTGGTCTTCCACATGCACATATTCGTTGGAGGATTACGTTATTCAAAATTCGATGACTCTATGTACCGTTATTTTGACAATGTGAGAAATATACATACATTTACGCAGATTTTCATTATTTAATTTCTTCAAATATAATGCAGGACTCTAACATTTTATGGCAACAGTTTGAAAAGTGAATCGACATTTATCCCTCCGACGCAAAATGCCAAAACGAAACTAATAGTCCTTCGGGATTCAAATCCCTTTGGACTAAAAAAAAAAAAAAAAAAAAAAAAAAAAAAAAAAAAAAACTAAACCTACAAAAGAGTTAAAACTTCCGAAAAAATTTTTACAATTAAAAATTAGAGTTTAATTAAAATTAGGCAGAAAGACAAGTTTTTCGGGGCAAAAAACTTTTGCCCCACTCAGCAAAAAGACATTGACGTTGGTGCAGAAACTGACTTAACTCACTATCCTACTAAGTTTCAAATTTAAACAAATGGGGGCGTAGTTAGTTTTAATGGAATTTAAACAACTTTTAAATTGTTGATAATTTACAACTGTTGCATACAAATTAACGGTGTAAAAACCTTAACCGGAACATAAGAGAAATATAATTCAATAACTTTTAAAGCAAAAAATGCACAATTTTTCAACAAATATGAATAAAAAAATTAGCTCACCGTGCCGGGTAACAGAGTGGGTATATATATATATGTAATGATTCCAAAAGTCGTAGATGAAAACACTAGAACTTTTACGATAATGCGTAGGTGACCAGGAAGACCGTAGTAGCTTGAAGGTGGCAAAGTGGAAAGCATGATCACGCAATTTAGCACAACGTATCTTGAAAAATTACCATCTTTATTTTTCCACGCATATCAAATCATCCTTTTTCAGACAAAATGTTTCCTAATTATATCTGAATACATAAATTGCATTTTGAATTAGAACGTCATCTTAAGTAAGTAAGTAGCAGCATGGTTTCGGAGGGTCTTGGCAGCAGGACAGCTATGCGGAAAAAGGGGCAGGTATCATAGAACTTCAGAGGAAGAAGCCTGGGAGTCGGAAAAGTTTCAGTTAAGAGTTTTGGTTTACAATTAATTTGATTGGAGAAGAGGCATCTGCATTAAAACGTTACGTAAGATAGAAAAATCTAACCTATGAGAAGAGATGAATTTAAGGGCAGATCACCAAATTTAGAATGTTAATTTTGAGGTCGCCAATTATTTTTTTGAAACAGATATCATATTTTGTTATATCTTACATATATATATTTATATATTTTTGGTGAGGCCGATTGCAACCAAAAAGAGAGGTATACATGTACATGTCATAGCAGTCCCGTATACAAAATTTCAAAGTTCTAAGGCTACACTTTTTTGAGTTATGCGAGATACATACATAAGTACGCACGCAGACATCACAAAAGAAAATCTCTTTTGAATTCCTTATAAATTCATTTCACAATCCGTTTTGGGAAAAGGATGCCTTTATTCTGTCCATACGTACAGATGTAACGCAAAATCATGGTTCAAATGGAATCGAGAGCGGTCAAAATGGATAGTTTCGTTGAAATACGATACCCAAAATTTTTTGCGTTTACAATACTTTCTTTACTTCGCACAGGAAGTAAAAACTAAGGATATTTTGACTTCAAGAGAAAAAATAGCATTAAGAAAATAATCCAACGTACACCAACACGTTAAAAGAAAAGTTTGCGCAGCATATTGAAAAAAAAAAAAAAAATCTTTGCCTAGAGAGGAACTGATATGACGTAACAGCGTATATTTAAATTATTTTTAGAAAAGGATAACTAAGAAATATATATATATATATACAACAGGTTCCTGTATATATATGAAAGATATAACAAAATATGATATCTGTTTCAAAAAAATAATTAGCGACCTCAAAATTAACATTCTAAATTTGGTGATCTGCCCTTAAATTCATCTCTTCTCATACGTTCCAGATTTTTCTATCTTACGTAACGTTTTAATGCAGATGCCTCTTAATGCATATGAATTAATTTTTCCATTAGTATTTTCTGATCTGATTCACTGTAGACTAATCTTTATGTCATGAGAGTCAGTATAAACTAATAGCTTTTTAAATAGCATGTACTGCAAGGCATTAGTTTTTTACATGATTTAAATGCTGAATAAAATTCAAAAGCACTTATAATAAGTAATAATAAGCTTTGTTCTACTTGGAATAGAAATAGATAGGTGGAGGATAACTGAGTACGGATGATGGAGGTTTTATTATACAAACATTTACCACGGGAGCCGTGTGTATTAGGATTCATTTTTTATTTTGTTCCACATATACTTTAAAAATTACCTTAGCTTAAAATGCTGCTGCAAAACTATTTGATCAATATATGTTCAAACAGTATCATTGACAACTATCTAATATGATAAAATCAGAAATTCATTGCAAAGTGATAATATTCGTTGAATTAATTTTCATGTCCTTTAGATGTGTGCTTTGATTTAAATGAATAAAATTTATTTCCCGATTTTCAAACTATTTTGATATTTTAAGAAATTCTCTAATTTCTTTTTAATATCAAAATTCTATCGAATGTAACCAAGATCTTTCAGTGTTTCATTTTTACTTGAAATTAATTGGTTGTTTTTAAACAAACAAACAAAAAAAAAAAATACACAAAAATAAATAGTTAACTAAAAAAAACTTTATTTAAAAAAAACCTGAATGGTACCGTTGTCTGATCACAATGCGAGAAACATACATATATTTATGCAGATTCTTTATTATTTAATTGCTCTAAATATAATACAGGGCTCTAATATTTGGTGGCAACAATTTGAAAATTGAACCGACATTTGTAGTGAACCAACGCAAAATGTCAAAACGAAATTAATAATCCTTCTAGGCAAATTGACCCTTTAGACTACTAAATAAAAAAGAAAACATGAAAGAATTCAGACTTTATATTACGCCCAAAACGGCGGTTTTTTTAACGCTTTATGTGTTAACTTTATTTATTAAATGTTGTTTTTCGCACTTAAAGCGCATAATATTATTCAATTCAACAACAATATCACAAAATTTTTAAAAACAGCATATCTTTAGAACTTCCGATATACAGTCTCGTGCGCTGAAGATAAAGTTGTTTTTTTTTCCGTACTGTGTTGCAATTGGTCGTTTTGAAATCGCAGAGTTTGTTAATCAAAAATTCGTTAAAATTTTACAAAATTTTAAATAGATAATAAAATAAAATCGAAATTCAAAATTCGGGCAGACAGCGGTTTTCAAAATTTCATGGCTCTAGGTACCGTCGTTTTTTCGCAATGCGAGAAACATTCATGCAGATTCTTCATGATTGAGTTTCTTTAAATATGATGCAAGGCGATAATATTTGGTGGCAACAGTTTAAGAAGTGAATCGACGCAATATGCCGTTTGAAATTAGTAGCCTTTCTGGGCTAACGCACTTTGGGATAACTTTCTTTTTTAACTAATTTTTAAGCAAAGGCAAGTGCATCTTCCGATTACTTCGAGCTATGAGGATAGGTTTTTATTAAATGTAAAAAGAAAATCAAATTCAAAACTTCAGCCATAATTGCTTTTATAATAAAACTAGAATAAAAACTACTTCAACGCAGAAAAAAAATCATTTGCCTTTACATATAATAATTCAAATGCTGTATTTGAGATCCATCAAGAGTTATGGTAATTGTTTACAGGGCGATTATCAATTTATTTTTGCTAGATTGGATCAGAATTTTGGTTCAGACATTGAACCTCGACACTGTTGCCATAAGATTGATTACTTGATACAAAACATAAGGATTTTGAAGGCAATCAGCAAACGAAGCCTATACCGCCTAAGCTTCTATTATAAGGAATTTTAGAATTTTTATATTAATTTGGTTCTATAGAAACAACTTAGTAAATTACATTTTTCTTAGGACAGTTCATCTAGAGAAATATTAATGGCAAGAAAAAGAGCAGAAAATATGCCAAAACCAATAGCACTTGATGAATGGCTAGACTATGATGTAAGTTTCGTCGCTTTTGTTTAAGATTTATGAAACAACGTAATAAATGACCTTCTATCTTATTTCTGTGTATGCTTGGCTTTTTCAGTACTCGAAATTAATGACGGTAATTTTTTCTTCCTATTGTGAGCATTATAAGGGACAATATACGTTAAATCATGTAGTTTCGGACCCCTTAATATGCTTAATGCATCTAAATAACACAGTCGCTGAGGAAAAAAAGTTCTTTTTATGAAATGTGAAAATGACAATGGTACGAATTGCGTGAAAACAATTTAAGAATCATAAAATGGAAGTGCGAAATTACTAACTCTGATGTTGCTGTTTATTGCTAGAATGTTACTAAGGAGAAAGCTGGCAAAATTTATAAAACACAACTTTCGAGGAAACGTTTTGGCCCAGAGCGGCTATTAATTTCGCTTGGGCATTTTGCGTCGTCCACTAGAAAACGGCGCGTCACTTTTCAAATTGTTGCCACTAAATTTTAGAGCCCGGCATTATATTTAAATAAATTAAAGAATGAAGAATGTGAATAAATGTATGTATGCTTCTCGCATTGTGAAAAAACAACGGTACCTAGAAACATCAAATTTTGAATAACGTATTCCTCGACTCGAATATGGGTATCTGGAAGCCCAAATTTGGTGTTTGAAATTTGTTTTATTATTTATTTCATATTTTGTTAAACTTTAATGAATTTTTGATTAAAAAACCAGAATATTTTAAATTGAGCAATGGCAACACTGTACGAAAAAAACGATTTTAATCTCCAGCGTACGAGACTGTGTATCGAAAATTCTAAAGATATGCTCTTTTTAAAAATTTTTGTTATATTGGTTGTTGAATTGAATTTTATGGTTTAAGTACGAACTAGGTACATAACATCTAATAAATAAAGGTAACAGAGGAAACGTTAAAAAACGCCTTTTGGCGTAATATAAAGTCTGAAAGCCTTCAGATTTTCTTTTTATTAATTAATTCATTTTTTTTTTTTTTGTAATTTTAATAATGTGTAGAATATTTGGAACTAAATAATGTATTGGGTTATCTAAAGACGAATCTTAATTAATTAATAATTAACATAAGGGTGGAAAATAAACTATTATACGAAACAAAGTTTTGATTGGTCAGGGACGTGTATTTCGAAGCTGAAATACTTGCTGTCTATAAATGTCTTCTTTAAGAACACTTTTTGAAAAGTCTATGCCTTTCCTCATTGAGTATACAAGTAATTTTGCGATATTCTCGCATAACACAACACTTTTACATCAATTTTATGCAAACGGTTGTAAAGTCTATGTCTCTTTGAGAACATAAACTATACACTTTAAAGGACTATTGGGAAGAATTATCTTCTTGCCTTGTGAAACAAAACAGAAATCAGAAGAAGGATGTATAAGACCCTTTTATTCGAACACAAGCAAATTTCAAGGCGTGGTAGATTAGCCTAAGGGTTCACAGAATACTTTAAAGTGCAGAAAATGTTCTGGTTTGTAGTAAACCGGCGGGACAAAGCCAAATGTCTAGAAACACTCAATGGCACTAATTCAAGTTGCTAAGAATCACAGAACAACATAGCCTAGAATAAGCAAACTTACTCTAAAACTAACTTCTGAAATTCTTGCTTAAACTGCACTTCTTTCTACTTTAATCTGAATAGAAGTTCGCTGTCTCATTTACATGGTGGCATGAAAAGCGAGGGTGAAAAGTAATACGAAAGTAATCAAACTTAAAATGAACTGTTAGAAACAAATAAATAGATAAACCTCGTTAGGTAGTAATTATGATTTTTTTTAGTTATACTAGATTTCTTTCCAGTCAACAATGTGGGGTTTGTAATGGGGACCGAACATCAGCCGAACGTCAAGAGTGGAGAATCAAACTTCAAGAGTGTAAAAAGAACAGCAATTTAGATTGAACAATTGCAATGAAAGAGATCTCCATAGCCAGCCAA